GTAAATCAACACTAAATATATATGGTATGGCAGTTAGCAAGTAAGTACTTGAGATATTAGTGCAAATGTAATATATAATGTTTACTATTTAGTTATGATGGAAAAGTGTTATTTAAAAAGTGTAATCCTGGAAATGAAGTGTGTAGTCTTGATGTTTCGCACACTTCTATTGATGAGAAAGTTGAAGTTGACGTGATTACATTAGATCATTTTGCAGATCAGCATAATCTATCAAGAATTGATATACTCAAAATCGATACAGAAGGATATGAACCATTTGTATTTCAGGGTGCTAAACGCTTGTTAGAAGAGCATCGTATTCGATTATTTATTTTCGAACAATTAGAAAGTAAATTATGTATATTTTTAAACTAATATTATTTTATTTATTGATAGCTGGTGCATGGTTAAATACTACATTAAAATTTGAAGTATTAAAATTGACTAAACTAGGTTATATATGTTATATAATAGGCAAAACTGGTATGATATTGGTAACCAATTGTTGGAGTGATAAGTATGATGTAGAACACAATAATTTACTTTGTGTTTCTTCGAGAGACGGTGCATTATTGAATAGTATTGACCAAATGAGATTAACTGGAACAGTTTCTGGTGTATGTGAGAAGAGCATGTGATTTGTTAAGTTTTAACTATATATTTTATGTGAATAAAGATGAGTTTAGAAATAGTATGTCTTAAATAAACTATATTCTAAGGCAATATGGTAGTAGACATACAAATGCTTTTTAAGATAATCAATATGACGATGAAAACGTCACAAGTTACAAGAAATAATGGAATATATACACATACAAAGCTGCAAGAGTTATTCTTATTGTTAAACAAAAAATGTACTTTAGATAAACAGAAGTTTAATTTCGATAAATATTTTACGAAAACTAAGGAAACAATAGGTTCCATAGGATTGTATTAGATAAAGAAACTTCAATCAATATGGAATCATATTTCATTATTAATTCATTGATAATTCGCATGCTATATGACGGGTGATCAATAATATCATCTTTTTCTTTATACAAAAACTTTCTTTATTCTTTGCATCTATTCATAAGTTAGTCCGCATTTTATTATAGCATCGATGTAGTTGATGATTTATGATAAACAATATTGTTTTTAGTACAAATTAGACTGTACCACAAAGAGTGCCATAATCAAGAGAGAAAATTGACATTTTAAATTTCTACTGCGTCAGTACCTATTTGTTTAAACGATGTTCTCAATTATTTCATAATTCAACTGTTATAAACTGTACAACGGTGAACTTGAAGATGAATATTCATTGATTGATGAGAAATATATACCAAATCTCAGTAAAAATTTGAATCACTTTTTGAGTTTTCTGAGGTATTCAGATATTTTTCACTAGCTGCTCGAATTAGGAATATCGGCTATAGTATATTATATATTATGTTGTTGTCAGTGAAAATAAAATGAAAACTATTCGTTGGTTAAAGATGCTGATTAGTACTACGAAAATTTTATGAGATAACGAATATAAATAATATTCATGTTTCTATATGTTCAAATCATGAGCACTATTAAAAATCGAATAGCTCTCTTTCTAGACAAGTCAAGATCCGTTAATATTTTAACTGTGCTAGTTTGGCGATGAGAGATTTCATTTGATTCAAATATATGTAATCTTTCCAATGGACGGTACCATCAACTTCGTTTTCAGAAATATATTTAGTCGATAGATTATACTATATTTTACAGTAGAGTTGAAATTGAAACATAAGTGATAATATGAGTAAAAGTTTTAAATTGAATAGTAGTATTTATTATAATGTTTGATAGGAGAATATTATTCAACATGATTGCACTTTAGTTTCAGTGAGACGTAGCATACTTTATCGATAGATAAGTTTACATATATGGATAAAAGCAAAACAAAGTGTTGCTTGGATACCAGTTGATATTCGATACAGGAAAGATTCATGATTTGCACATCCGTTGTTTTCGTTCAAATGTGAAAAATCGAAGGTATCTATTTTACTTCAAACGAAAGGTACTAATAAAATACTTACGAGTACTATAGTTTTGAACGTAACTTAATTTCATCATATGTAATGATATGAGTATTGCTGAGATATAATCAAAACGTATTTGCTTTTATCTTATTTAAAACAGTGTATTCTATTCATAAATTAAATCGTTTTCTAATAGTTTTATTACGATCTGACTAGAAAAAATTATATACAATAACAAACAAATATTCAAGAAATAACAGGTTTAATAAGAAGATATAATTCTTTTGCTTCATATGGATTATTTAAAACAATTTCTAATTCATATTGATTTGATGTTGTAAATATAAATGTTTCACCTCGATCAACTTGTAAAACACGTCGTTCATAATCATAGATAATTGCAGTGACTTGTGCATGAGTTTCATTTGTTTCATCATGTCGATGTACTTTAAGTGTCCATTTATCATGACTACGTTTACGATAAACAACTTTCCAATCAGCTGTACGATCAACTGATGGAACCGGAGATGAACATGTTTGAACATCAACTTGAATACCAAAACGAAGTGTCGATTGAATATCAACACGATCACTAAAATTATACATATAATCATTTATTTATTTATTCAATATGAAAGAAAATTTCTATATTTATTCTAGTATCTATCACTAAAAGATTGACTTATATTAAGAGAAAGAAATTGTATTTACGTTATATTCATTTCTGTATATTCTCTTGGTAAATACCATTCTAATGGTAAAAATTCAGGTCTATCAATATCTCTTCTTAATGGTGCTAATGTATGAAAACGATAAGCTTGATATAATAAACGTTTAAGTAATTCTTGAATTTGTTCATTATTATTTCTTTGATATAATATTGATTGTTCAATTTGATGTAATTGTATAGGTAACATTTGTGAAAAACGTATTAATGGTAAAAGTTCGCAAGCATATGTTAATATAGGTGTATCGGATGAACGTGCTAATAACCAATCACTAATTGCTGTATATAAACGATATTCATTAGTAAGAACAAGATTTGATGTTGAAAGAAGATCACGAATAAAATCAAAATCACATCGAAACCATTCATTTTGATTTGTATT